TACAGAGACCCCGATTTTAATGTGGAAAGCTTTTTCCTGAGAGAAGTAGAGCCTGCTGCTGTACAAATAGCAATTTATCCCAATCAAATTAGGAAGAAGTGTATTTTGATGAAATTGGAAGGGAAAAAATACTTTTTTCCACTTCCTTATGACATCAATGACAATTGATATAGATAGGATGTAAATATATGTAAATAGAGATATTGTAGTGTACGTAATGTAATTTTTAGCGACACGTTTTCCATATTATGTATGTTATATATTGTACAACACTTTTGAAGAATGGTAGATAATTAAAATTTCCAAACCTGGGTTTGTTTTTTGTTGTTTACCCCTATTCTACCTATTTTAATTACCTTTGATAAGTAAGTATTACAAGATCGTCAAGCACTATATATAGGCAGATAAAATTGTAAAAAAGATGGACGGGACATGTTTTGAAACCTGATGGGTTGATTTTAATCCACTTAATAAATTTCCTGCATCACGTTTTTAACAGACATTAGCTGTACTAGTAACTTGTTTTATAATATCTCTGAAGTAATAACAAAATCGGGGATTTATTAATAAGAAAAATGGGTGCCACTATTTACCCTGAAAAACCGGAAATTCCAATCCAAAAAACATGCTGTGAGACTATTATTATGAGTAACTTCGAACAGAAATTTTGGAAAACTAGGGTGGATTAAAATCGAATTACTATGAAATATGCACAGGAATTATAACAGGAATATTAGTGTCCATAGGAATTTTAATAGGAATATGAATATCCTATAGGAATTTTAATAGGAAAATGAATATCCTATAGGAATTCTCATAGGAATATGTATATCCTATAGGAATTCTAATAGGAAAATGAATATCCTATAGGAATTCTAATAGGAATATAAATATCCTATAGGAATTCTCGTAGGAATATGTATATCCTATAGGAATTCTAATAGGAAAATGAATATCCTATAGGAATTCTAATAGGAATATAACTATCCTATAGGAATTCTCATAGGAATATGTATATCCTATAGGAATTCTAATAGGAAAATGAATATCCTATAGGAATTCTAATAGGAATATAGATATCCTATAGAAATTCCTATAAAAATTGAATTTCCTATACGAATTCTTATAGGATCCTATAGGAATTTTTCGTAAGGGTTGGAAGGGTTGCGTCATTATCAAATATTTGAGTTTGAAAGAAAAGTTCCACCGATTTCGTATCGTGTGTAGGAAATATGCGATTAGGAAAACCATTAAAATCCACTTTTTCATAACACCATTTATTAGCATCGGTTGTTGACTCTGGTGAGATAAAATAATATTTTGGAACGGATATTATCATCGCAGCAAGTTTTACATCACTAGCGATTGTTGTAATGAGATTCCTTAATATAATACTTAGGTTATCAGGACCAATTTTCAATGTATCATTTGGAACAATATCTCCATTTGTTAGTTTCTTGCCAGCAAGAAAAACATCTCCAACCATAGTATCAACAAATTTATGTTTATCAAAACCACTTTGATGAGGGAAAAACGATTATTCTGCAAATTTGAGTTTTGATAATTTTGTGTGGAGAGATTTTTAAATTTGAATCCTTCATAAATGGTTAATGACATTCTACTTTTATTACCATTAACGGAATCCTCCAATTTTGAGGTTGAGAAGAAAAATTCAATTCTAAAATGTGTTGGATTAAATGTTGATGTTGTTGCTCGCGCTAAATAGTATTCAAAGATTTCCTCGTTCACTTTTATTGTTCCAATACTTTTTATTGACCCTGCTTGAGATAGAAAACTGTCCCCTGACTCAGCTGTATCAAAAGTCACATTTCGATAACTTCGTAAACCGTGCTTTGTATTGTCATGAAACATAACAGCAAATGTTACCCCATATGGATTCTTATCAGTATCAGCTGCATAAAAAACGACAGCCGTTAGACTATCGCTTGAGTCAGTCTCCTGGTTTACTTCTAGACCTTTGCGTGCTCCTAAAAGGGGAACCTTTCTTCCATCTTTTTCTCTGGTTACTCTTAAATTTCTTCCACGACCTACGGGTTTCCAACTACCGCTCTCAATAAAATTAAAAGTACTGTAAGTACCTCTACTTGTTCCTTGGGCATCAATATAGTCTACTTTCTCAAAATTTTTATCAACCATTACAACTTGACGTTTCTCTGATACACTAAATTTTCCCATTGGTCCTGTGGGGCCTATAGGTCCTTGTTGTCCTGTAGGTCCAGGATTTCCTGTAGGACCTACATTACCAATGTCTCCTTTATCCCCTTTATCTCCTTTATCTCCTTTATCTCCTTGAGTACCTCTATCTCCCTTGACCCCTTGTAGTCCTTGTTGTCCTTGTGGTCCTTGCGGTCCTTGAGATCCTTTAGGTCCCTGTGATCCTTGTAGTCCTTGCATTCCTCGTTGTCTCTCCTAATTGAAGAAGAGGAAGGATCTATATGTTTAACTCCTAGTATACCTGCGATTAAAGAGGAAGAAGAGGAAGAAGAAAACAATGGATGATTATCTTTCCAACATTTACTACAATCCAAAACGTACAGGAGGGCTTGGAGGTGTAGAACGATTATATAATGATGTAAAAAAGGACGGAAAATATAATATATCAAAAAAGAAAATAGAGGAATGGTTAATGAAACAAGATACTTATACATTACATAAACCTGCTCGTCGTCGATTTAGTAGAAATAGAGTTATTGTTGGTGGGATAGATGAATTATGGCAGATGGATTTAGCCGATATGCAAACAATGGCAAAAGAGAATGATGGATATCGATATTTACTTGTTTGCATTGATGTATTCTCAAAATTCCTATGGGTTATTCCATTAAAAGATAAAACAGGACCAACATTAGTCGACGCATTTAAAATTATACTAGAGTCTGGACGAAAACCACATAAGATTCAAACAGATCAAGGCACAGAATTCTTCAATAAACATTTTAAATCTTTAATGAAAAAAGAAGAAATTGAATTATATAACACTTACAATGAAACAAAAGCATCTATTGTAGAACGTGTAATTCGTACTCTAAAAACAAAAATGTGGCGTTATTTTACCGCTAAGAAAACCATGAGATATATTAATGTTTTACCTGATTTAGTATTTTCATATAATAATAGTAAACATCGTAGTATTAAAAAAAGACCAGTTAATGTTACTTTAAAAAATGAGCAAGAGGTATGGCATACACTATATGGAAATAGAAAAAAAATGAAAAAAGTAAAATATAAATTTAACATAGGTGATCAAGTAAGAATTAGTAAAATGAAACGTAGATTTGAGAAGGGATATCTACCTAATTTCTCAAAAGAAATCTTTACTATTAGTAAACAAATACCTCGTAATCCTCCAGTTTATAAATTAAAAGATTATGATCAAGAGGAACTAGAAGGAACATTCTATAAGGAAGAGTTACAAAAAATAATTAAGGAAGATGATATTTATGAGGTTGAGGAAATTCTAAAAAAACGTGGAAAAGGTAAAAAAGAGGAATATTTTGTAAAATGGTTAGGATATCCAGCAAAATTTAATTCATGGATTTCTGCCTCTCAAATAAAAGATATTTAAACAACCTTTTTGTGTTCCTTAGTCATTTATTGTTTGAAACATGAACAACACACACTTCTATATCTCACTTCCTAATGACTCTTCAAAAGATATTTTTCCTGAGAATAAACAGACTGAGTATACAGTAAAACTTCCCCATCGTATTCAACTTGATGGTGAGTGGGAAGTAGCATTACATAATATCTCATATATAAAATGGTCAATAATACCTATAAATGGAGAACCTATTCAATACATAGAAAACGGAACAAAAAAGAAAGGAGAAAAATTAAAAACATACTATGAATCACTTGATGAATACATAAAGGATATCAAAAATTCATTTACAGATGAAATTAAAAAGAAAATTAATTTTAAAATTCATTCCAGAAGAGTAACTATCTCTTTAGAAAGTGGATATAAAGTTAATTTACGAAGAGATCAAGCTATTATTCTAGGATTTTTAACATCTGAGGATTCATCTATTGAGAGAAAAATTGAATCAAGCGAGACAGCAACTCATGAGGGAAATCTACATAGAGAAACAGATATTTATGTATACTGTAATATTGTGCAACCTCAAATTGTTGGGGATAAAACTATTCCATTACTTGATATTGTCCCTATTAAAAAAAATAGAAAATATGTTAAGCAGACACGTTACATTCCTGTACAAACCAAATCTTTTGAAGAAATACAGATTCTTTTAAGGAGTAGTAACAAATGAACCCCTCTCATTTGAACGTGGACGTGCACTGGTAACACTACATTTCAAACGTAAGAGTTATTTTTAAAATAATGAATCGTCAACGAATTCAGGAGGGGAATGGTCTCTGTTTTTTTCGTACTGTTGGAAATTTTTTAAAACCTATAACAAGAGAAGTAGGTAACATTGGTTTAAGTGTAGGAGTACCATTACTTCAAACCTTGATTAATGATTTAATTGCGGGAAAAAGTTCAAACCTTTCAGCAAAAACACAGTAAAAAAGCAGGGACACAAGCAGCTAATATGGCTGCAGAGAGAGCACTACAAGCATTGCTCTTAAATCAAATGAAAACAAAACAAACAGGTGGAAAAAAACGTAAACGATCTCAATCTAGAAAACGATCTCGCTCCAGGAAACGACCTAAAAAACAAAATCAAACAGGAGGTAGAAAACGACGAAAACGAAGGATAAAAAAACGTAAAACAACAACAAAACAAAGAAGAAAACCTCAAAAAGGAAAAGGACAAAAAAGAAAAAAAAAAAGAAAAGCTATAGCTATTGTAAAAAAACGTGGTATAAATAGAAAACAAAGAAAAGCTCTTCCTCTAGACATATTTGGTTAAAATTTATATTTGGATGAAAATTAAAGAAATGATCATATCCTACTTGATATTGAAGTAAACAAGAAGTCCGTAATAATAATAATAATAATAGTAATAATAATAATAATGAATAACTATGTACATCCTAACTCCGCACGATGTGATAAAAGTGAAATTGATTTATTTGATATTCCTTCTACGCAACTCAGTTTGGAAAAAGGACGATGGATTGATTATCACGCACTCTCTAGTGTAGAAAATGATGATGGACCAATTACATTTCTAATAGCAGGTACCGAAGATTATATTGACATGTCAAAAATGATTCTTGTAATTGAATTAAAAATTACAAAATCAGATGGTACACCTCTAGGGGGAAATGAACAATCAAGTGTAGCTCCTATTAACAATTTTCTACACAGCCTGTTTAAACAAGTTGATGTCTACCTAAATGGAAAACAAGTTACACCTGCTATGGGTACCTATGCTTATCTTGCCTATTTGGAAACTCTTCTAAACTATGACGTCTCAGCAAAACAATCTCAACTCACCTCAGCATTATACTACAAAGATACCCCCGGACATATGGATAGCACAGGAAGTCTTCCAACAGAAGAATCTGTTACAGTTGTTACAGGACATGCCAGCAGGGGACATCCAACAACAAAAACTTTAAAATACTTAGTACCAGAAAGTGGAAATCAAGGTTTTGCTAAACGTCATAAATTTATTCAAGATGGAAAACTATTGGTAATGGCAGGACCTATTTTTTGTGATGCATTTATGACAGAACAATTATTACTCAGTATGGTGGATCTTAAAGTAATTCTAAATAGAAATTCAGACAAATTCTGTTTAGTGGATAAGAATAATGTTGTTATGAATGCAAAAGTCAAACTTGTGGATGCAACACTTAAAGTACGTAAAGTTAAAGTCAACGATACTGTTAGTAAAGCACACGAAATGGCCCTAAGATCTGTACCTGCTACCTACCCTATACGACGTGTCGAATGTAAAGCCTTTACCATCCCTGGGAATCTTCCCCAAATAAGAAAAGATAATATGTTTGCAGGAATTATTCCAAAAACATTTATATGTGGATTTGTAGAGGCTGATGCTTTTAGCGGTGTTTATGGTAAAAACCCCTATAACTTTCAACACTTTAATGTGTCATCAGTAACATTAACAGCCAACGAAGAAGAAATACCTTTCAAACAACAACACACTATTCTCTGGTACAGGAAAAATGAACATGAATACAGGTCTTGATATTGATAGAGAAGATTATTTTAAAGGATTCACCCTTTATGCATGGGATCTCACCCCTGATATGTGTGGTGCTTCTCCCTATTTTAATACAGTGCAACGAGGATCGTTGACACTTGACATCACGTTTGCTGCTGGGGATGTTCCTACCAATCCTATTTCTCTCGTATGCTATGGAGATTTTGAAAATATTATACAAATTGACGCAGAGAGAAATGTAATGTATGATATATCCTCATGAATACTAGTGAAATCAAAAACATACTTGAACATCATCCTGTAACTAAAAAATATTTTTGTGGAGTATTTGCTGCTGATGAAATTCCAAAAAATTTAAATACTTTCCCATGTGGGTTCGTCGTTAATACAGATCCAAGTTCAAAACCAGGAACACATTGGGTCACCTTCTACTTTCCCTCTAAAGAAAATGGTGAATTTTTTTATAGCTACGGAAAACCACCATATTACTATAAAGATATATTCAAACCCTCTTTTGAAACTCTTAAATGGAATAAACGTGTTTTACAAAGTCATTGGACCGAAGTATGTGGACAATATTGCATTTTCTATTTATATCAACAATGTCGAGGATATACAATGAACGAAATTGTAAATATGTTCACTAACAATACATCATGGAATGATTGTAATGTTGCATGTTATGTTACGAAAAATTTTAATGTTATTATATTTAATCAACCCATTTGTGGACTTAATCAATGTTGTAAAAAATTATTTTAAAAACCAATAAAAAAGACAAAAAACCAATTTTATATTTTAAAAATTTTATTAAAAAATATTTTTAATATAAGTACAACCTTTAAACAAAACATTTTTCATACGTTTTTAAAAACGTATTTACAATCTTAAAATCCTGCAGAGTTCAATTTTCTTCCTTTTCCCCAGTCTTTTCCCACCTTCGTTTTTCCAGTAAGAACGTTTACGATATGTCTAGGTTTAATTCTGAAAAACCTTCTCTTTTAAAGTTCATACAATATATCTCCTGCTCTTTTCATTTTCCTTATTTGATAATCCAATAATTTATCACGCCCCAAAGAACCTCCACCCTGTCTTTTTCTCTGGGTCCTTTTTTTTTGAGTTCTTTTTTTTCCCCCCATTCCTTTTTCTTCTCTCATCCTTACTCCTTGGAGGATTGAACAATACTCTCCCCCTTGAAACATTGTTTGCATTTTTTATTTCTTCAAATGTCTATCAAAAAACCGATCTCTTCTCATTCTAGTAAGAAGTTTAGCAAACTCCTTATCCTTAGGTTTACTCCCTCCACTTTGAGCCCTTCTTCTTTGTCTCGAGAGTCTTTTATCATTGGGTGCTAATCCTAACCAATCTCTTTGCATAAAAATAGTCCCTCCTTTTTGTTTTTTTTTCATCCCCTTCTTTTTCTTTTTCTTCTTCTCCTCAAGCTCCTTCTTCTCTTTATTATATTGATCAGAGAAACTTTTTCCTAACTTATTGAAAAACCCTATTCCAAAATCAAAACCTTTACCTATTTGAGTTTCGTCCTTACTCTCCGGAAGATTAAACGATACTCTTTTCTTTTGAGTGTTATTTATGTTTTTATCCTCATCCCCTCTATTTTTCCATCTCTCTTCATTTCTCACTAAATCTCTGGGGACATTAATTTTACTCAAAACTTGAAAAAACTCATGTACGCCCACAGGATTAAATGATTTACGTGATCTCATAGCATCTGAAATCAAATCGGAGATATTACTCCTAGGAATAAGAACACCCTCTATTTTGACCTGTCCTGTATTATCCCATGAGATAATTTCTGCTCTAGATCTCAAACGTTCCAAAAGAGCTAAAGCTCTAGCTTTCATAGTTTTAGGAATTCCATGTACAATTACATCATCTGTTAATTCACTCTCTGGTTCGATTGAATTTTCAATCTGTCCTCCTTTTTGTTCATTCTCAAGTTTTTCAAGTCGCGCAAGTTTTTCCTCTGTTATTAACACGAAACGTTTTGCACTCATACTGAGATACCTTGATTTTTAAGTAAAATAGATAAGGCCAGCGGTATAAGTATCGATGCAGCACCCCTGCCCTCTTGAACTAAAAATTTCCTCTTCTTAAGTGAAACGTTCCTCTTTACTAATGCACGTAGCTGTTCCTTGTAACGTGTAAAATAACGTTTCTGACGTGAAGTTAACCGTATCACCCCTTTAAGGGCATTTAAAACAATCTCACTAACAGCTAAATCGGGAGGGCCGTATTGAAAAATTGCTTTTTGTATTTGCGGTTTTGATTTTGCTAACACTTGAATAAACGGAAGAGTTCTTGCCATATACTCTGACATCTTGTAAATGACATTTTGGTAAGAAACCGTTTTATTATATATTAATCGTAAGATTTAAAAATACATCAACATCCACAGGAACATTTATATTTGAATCAATTGTAAATGTTATCTCGGAAACAATATCAGATTCAATAGGGATAGCAGGATAATTCTCATCAGAATATTTAGAGATAGATGAATTCAATCTAGTACCAGGAGTAATAGGTAAATATGCAAGAACTGTGCTCCTCCTCCCTTCAACATCAACATTCTTCACGGAATCTACAAGATCACACAATACTTTAAGATATCGTAGACCATGATTTACATCCACTGGTTTTGGTGACTTCTCATTTTTTCTCAATATGTAGTTCTCTGGAAAACCTAGAAGTTGACCAAACTTCTTTAAATTCACAGATGTATATTTTGAAGAATCAAAATTAATTTCACACGTATTGTCATGAACATAGGACGAAAGCGTAATGTGTTCCAATTTTAAACGTTCCTTCAATAACTGAAAATCCCAATATCCTTTTTGAAGTGTTTTCTTTTTAGTTACACTTGGTGAAGTGTTTGTAACCACGCTGATTTTATTATTATCGTTTGTAATATTCTTAAACTTCCAAAATACTGTAACTTGTTTTACTGTAATAGAAGATCCCTCTTGGGTTAAAAAAGGTTCTCTCAAACTCAGCTTCCTTGAATTACCGGCTATAAACACAGATATGTTCCTCGAAGTCATCTTTACCCAAATGATATAAACTCTCTTTTACCTTTGCATATATACAATATGTCTCTCCCCAGGTAGAATATTTGTACGCAAACGAATATTCTCAGGAGTCTGGGGATGACAATCAATTAATAAATAGGTAAAAGGCTGTTTCGTTGCATCATTAAAAGAGTCCAATAAATAGTGTGCTCGTTTTGGAAACATTTGTTTCGCCAATGTTGAAATCCCTAAAGAATCACGAAGATTCTTAAACACAATAAAATAGTGTGAATTCAAACTAATTGTTCTTGATAATTTCCCCGGAGGAAATAAATTTTGAGTTAAATAAAATACAGAGATGCCTTTATGGTGTGAACCACGTGTAAATAAATCAGACACACATACATTATTTGAACACTCGCTCATTAAATCATCCAAAACCACTAATGATTGATCATGTCCCTTTGTCATCTCAGTTAAATCAGAGGGGAACCCCTCAACAAACTCCACATTATGTAAATCATCAAACTCCTTCTGATACTCCCCATAACAATAAATAATCTTTGAAGGAACAGGATAAAACATTTCATTAATATGACATAATATTTGACGTATTAAATATGATTTTCCACACTGACTTTGTCCCGATATATAAAAATTTGCAGGTACTTTAAACCTTACATCCATAGTGACAGTAAAAATATAATGAAATAAAAGTAAAATGTGTTCCACTCTTTATAATAATAATTTACAGAATAATCCTATAACTATACATATAGGAATTACAATCTTCATTCGTTGACCGCTGACAAAACGAATCCACATCTCTATTCTTTTCTTGATTGCACGTTTTTTAAATGGTTGAATATTAACACTCTTTAATACAGGTACCGTAATCTTCACCGCTTTACATCTCTCCTCATCACTAATGCCCCCCGCAGCATGTACCAATGTTAAATAAGATATAACATGTCCAAAATTATTAGGATGCATTAACTCCCATATCTTAAATAAATCCTCATATGTCAAAGCATTCAAGATCTCATTATAGGTGTCATTATATTTTCCATAAATTTCACTAATATGAAATGTTATAGTTAAAACATCAATATCTATATTGTTTTTACAAAGCTCATCGTATATTACATTCATGGTTGTAACAACTAACATAATATTTCTTCAAACATCTTATTATATACATAAAAACACGTGAATATTTAAAAAGACACGTGATATTCTAATGAGGTGATTTCTCAAGTTTATGAAAATGTTTCAAACTAACTCCACTACTCTTCTCCAAACTCTGAATGCGATCTTCATTTCTTCTTTGCATCTCAGATAGTAACATTTCTTTTGCATTCGTATGATAAACAAAAGTACTTCTATCTTGAACTGCTGGAGGTACATATATTCTCTCCATAACCTCCATCACAATTTGCATTAGTAAAATACTGTTTAAAGTCAAACTCTCCTTCTTCTCAAGTCCTTGAGGTATAACCCCCTCCTTAATCAGCATCTCCACCAAATCGACAATTGATACATTAGTACTCCTCTCCCTCTTTTTCTCCTCATACCACTGCTTAACAATCCTTTTCCACTTCATAATTGAAAAAATGATCTCTCTAAAAAACTGTCACATATTTATACATCTTTATTACACATGTTTTTTAAAAAAACACATACCTTTTTATAAAAACACTCACCTTTTTATAAAAACACCACATTTTAAATAATAGGATGATACGCCATTATACGAACTAAATAAACTCTTGTTATTTCATTTCGTTTCCATACTCCCTCGCTCTTTACTATATCCTTTACTATACCCAATAAATATTCTTCTGAAATATTTACACATAGTTTACTAACACGAATATCTGGAGAACCACAAATGGAAAGAAAATCAGGAAACACATTACTTCTTTTCTTGGTGCTATAAACATTTCCTACCACTGAATGAATTAATTTATAACTTTGAAATGTATTCATTCCATA